ACTCAGACTGAGCAAACTGTAAGTTTCAGGCAACTGGGCCATCCAAAAACACTCAAGCACCAAATGCACAACCAGCAGCATGGTGCGGCACATCATGGTCACATAAGGAAGAAGGTTGGCTGAGTCATCCTCATTGATTACATCTGCCATCAAGAGAAGCAGATAATGTAAATCCTGGCAACCTGTAAAGCTGGGAATTTGGCATCTGGCAGTATTTCCTGAGGGAGGCACAAGATACATACACATGAAGTACCATTAAAAAAAGGATATGTGTGAAGATAACCCCATACCGGCCTGAGACCTCTGAGTATGTGACACCCATGAAATATATATGGAATCCTCTGGCTGATCTTTGATTGTCAAAGTGCTGCTCCGACTCATAGATATTTGACACACACCCACAGATCAGCACAATCTGCTGTTGCACTTCCCCTAGTTACTGTTTCTGGCTCCTTTGCCCTGTGACTAAAGGCCAACGCAAAGAGGGTGGCTGTGAGCAATCCCAGCTAGATCAGATCCCTGGCTACAGCTGAATTGCAGACAGTGTGTGCATCTCAGTATGTGTGGGCAAAAGGGGGCTTACAGGTGGTCACCGGCATCTTCACTGTGAAAGCTGCTCAGCTCTGAGGATTGGCCGGTCATTGAAATAAACTGAGTATTTGGGGCTTTTCCCTCCACACCGGTATAGGCGACATGTTACTGCTGAAATGGGGCTCTACTGTAGTATGGCTGGCAGAGCAAACCCATCTGGGAAGAATTAGAAGAGCAGTGTCTGAGGGGCTGTGTGGTCAAAGGGATAAAGAGCCTTTCAGCAATCTGAATCAGTGCAGCCTTGATCAGGCGTAAGGCAAAGACCTCAGTAGCCTCTGAGTTATAACCACTGAAAGAGTGGCCTCAACCCTTTGCTAGCTAACAGATGTCCCCATTAAAAAAAATGTCAGTGCCAGAACACACTCATACTTTGCATTAATTGCCAGGTCCAGCAAACAGGGCAATAGAAGAAGAATGGTCTAGTGGGAAAGGCATCAGACAGGGACTTGGATGACTAGCGTTCACTTTCTGGCTCAGACTTCTTCTGTGGTGCTGAGCAAGTAATTTCATCTGTCCTGCACAGTA